CCAGCAAGCAGAAGCCCCCCTGAAGAGGGAAGGCTTGAGGGGCACCTTTGCAGCAGAGCAGAGCCAGCTTTGCAGCTCCGACCCAGTGGCTGGCACGCACGTGGCCAGGTCCATCAGCCCAAGCTCTCTCTCTCTGGCTGTAGGGAGACAAAGCAGCTTTCTCGCAGTACCCAGTGGACGTTGCCAACTGTGATCCCCGTCTCAGAGTCCTCTCACTTCTCCCCCAACACCTCCCCTTTCTTCCTCTCCCGTCAGCCCCTCTCCCAGCCCTGACTTGCTGGCCAGCCTGTGGGTGGGTTCCCCAAGATTGATGGAGCCGGCCAGGAGAGGTCAGCTCCCAGCCCGTGTTTGCGTCAGCTAGCCATGGGGGAAGTCAGGGTGGGATCCTTCAACCTCCTGGCCCACATTTTTCTTGCAGGCACTTGGGTGGGCGTAGTCTGCCTTAATTCCTAGGAATATCTGTGCTATTAATAAATTGGACGCAGAACAAAGCAGGCTGGGTTTGCGCCCCTCCTTTAAAACATTTTTTTTTTAATTGGGCACGGGTGGAAGTGAGGAGTTAAACCCCCATTCCTGGGGTGAGGAATGGGGATTTCATTTTCTGGTTTTGGTATCATGAATTAAGAGTTCCCATGAGGAGCAGCCCCAGACCTGTCAACCTGCCTGCAAGTTCACTCTGCCTTTGAGTCTCAAACTGGGTCAAGTCTAAGAGTGATACACCTTACAACTGAGAAAAGGTCAGATTCCCGAATCTAGCTCTTCCATCTGTTCCCTCTCCCAAAATCCCAGCCCCAAGTTTCTCCCTGGCTGTTCCCACTCTCTCCCAACCCCTCCAGCCCTGACAATAACCCATCATTGTTATCTCATTGGGTGTTTGCAGACCTCTTTACAGCCATTGTTGTTTTTTTCCTTTTATTTGCAAAGTACTTTACAACTTTTATTACAAGTCTTTCCTCTGAATGTGGGGTAACACTGACCCATTTCAGAGAGCTGGATTCCCTTTCTAAGTAGCCGATCCAGACCCCAAGATGCCTGGCACTGGGTGGGTGGGTCTTTTGAAAGTCAAGGCCATGGCCATGGCCTTCCTTATTAGAAATCGTGCCCACTTGCCCTCGGGAAGTTCCACCCAGGGCACGTCTATCTAATGAGGTGGTTGTTACCAAGGTTCACACAGATGTTAAGTGCTGGTTTGGGGCTCCTGGCCTGTCGCCTCCCACCTCCCCCAGAGTGGGAGCTAAGCAGCAGTGTTTGAACTTTCTTCTTCAGTCCAGTGGGTTCCTGCCTGTGTCAGATGTAAGAAAATAAAATGGTCCCTTCCCCCATGGCATAGTGGGATTCGCTGCAGATGATCAAAAATTTTTGTTTTCTTCTTCTTTTTTTAATCATATTTAAAAGCTAAGCAGTTATAACATTTCAGAATGATGCTTTTAAAAATGAAAAAGCCACACAATTTGTTAGCCTAATAGAAGCTCCTTCTCGGTGGTCTCGGCTGCTGTCACAGTATATAGGATGTTTTGCAGGCTGCATTTTTTATTTAACATGGGAGGATGGCATTTTTCTCTGTCATTAGGTTGTCTTCGTCATAATCATTTACAACTGTGTAACATCCCACTGAAAAGGGCAGATGACAAGATCTGGTAGAAGACATGGAGACTTGACCCATTTGGAGGTGTGGTAGGTTGTAGGGAGACGCGGTTCCTTTACGATGCTTTTAGGAAGCTCGTCCTTAAGGGCTTTCCTTTGGCTGCTATTGTAATGCCTGACTATTCAATCTGGGTCAGACTTCTGTGCCTTCTAGACAAGCGGTCTCTGCCACCATAATACCCACCTTGCTTGAGGTATGTGTCCCAGGGCTTCCCGGGTGGCTCCGTGGTAAAGGATCTGCCTGCCAATGCAGGAGACACGGGTTCCGTCCCTGGTCTGAGATGATCTCACGTGCCGTGCAGCGACTGAGCTCATGCTCAGCAGCGAGGGGCCACCGCGACGAGAGGCCTATGCATGCCCCGTGCACTGCAACTAGAGCCCCCACTCGCCACACCTAAAGAAGGCCCTTGTGCAGCGATGAAGACCCAGCACAGCCAAAAAAAATTTTTTTTAAAAGATACATGGCCCAAATGAGTTCAGTTATACTGTTACTCATTACTGATACTCTGGCCCAGTTTGCCCAACCAGGGCATTAGTGTTCATAGCTCCTATGACCTCTGTCAGAGTGCTTAAATAGCAGGTACTCAGTAAATATTTGTCAGTGACAAATACATACTTGCCGACCTCCAGTGCCTTCCCCAGCCTGTAAAATAGTTGCTTGCCTGTGTAACCCATTCTGTGTGGCAGGTGAGAAGGTGTTTCTAAGGCAAACCTTGGTGTTGGGTTCTCAACATGTCAGGCTAGTAACCAGCAGAGAGACTGGAACTGCTGGGGAGGCCCCTGGGATGAGACCCTGTCTGGGATGTCAAACAGTAAGTGTGAAGAGAAAAGGGAACGTCCCCTCCAAAAAAAAGAGGAATGGATTGAGAGACCTCTGTTTGTGCAGCCTTTAGATGAACCGGAACATAGGAAAGAGGTTGGTTTGCTCATCTTTAAAAGGAAAAGAGTGTGAACCTTTATCTGTGAGAGGCACGTTCTGAAATATTCATGAGTGAAATGGCAGAAAGTCTGAGATTTTCTTTAAAAAAATCAGGTAGGGAAAGTGGGTGGAGGTATACATGAGACAACATTGGCCACAAAATGTTGAAAGCTGGATGGTAATTAAATAAGAGTTCGTTTTCCTATTCAGGCCACATTTGGGCCTGAAAAAAAAAAAAGAATAATTGAGTTGTGCTGGGTTTGGAATGGGAAGGTGCTGTAGAAAGCTCCGTCATGAGGTAGACCCGAATGACGAGTATCAATTTTGAGGCTGTAGCGCCATCTAGTGTTGATTGCAAACACGCTACAAATGAGGACATTGCAAGCGCCTCTCCTTGGTCCGAGGGCCTTTTATGAGCTCCCCTGGCCCCTCCAGCCCTCTCATCAGAAGGCTGGGCTGAGGGAGCCAGGCAAGGGTGGGGTGGCCGTGGTGGTGGAGGGTGACGTGCCGGTTGTTGACGCCTCCCCCGGGTTTGGGAAAGGAAGCTGAGTCCAGGAGTCATCATGTCATGTGGGGCTCTGAAGGCAGGTGACCTTGCTAGAGGGTTCTCAGTGTGACCTCGTGCAAAAATAGCCTCTCTTGTGACTGTGTGTGCTCAGCTCCCCAGACTGAGCAAACAGCCCCTCACACCTGCACACTGTTGACTCACAGTTACTTGTTTGCAGGTGCAAATGACTGTTTGTGTACCCAGAGTTGGGGGGAGGGCCCCCACCATCCTATTCTCTCTTAGCTCATGTTCCCTTAGAGCAGGTAGTGGGGCCACAGAACTGGCAGAATGTGAGACCCTAACCCCCAGGGCAAGGGGGCCAAGTCCTGATGGCAGAGAAAGCTGTTGCCCTCCTCCTCAAGTCTCCCCGTGAACTAGAGAAAAATCCACTCTTGCTTCTCATAGTAGGATGAGAACAATCTGGACACCAGAGTGGCTCTATTTAGGGACAGACAATTAGAAAGAATATAAAATTTTTCAAAATAGGAAGCAATACACATGGAGTCAGAGAGACCTCTGGGAGTTCTCAGCCAGGCTTTATGTAGATAACAGGGAATAAGAAAACTGGCCCAACCTATCTCTCCCAACCTATCAGGATGACACGAGTGAAATGTGTCCATTGTTACATTCTACAGACTTTAGGACTTCCTTGGTGGTCCAGTGGTTAAGACTTGGAGCTCCCGATGTAGGGAGCTTGAGTTCGATCCCTGGTCAGTGAACTAGATCCCACATGCTACAACTAAGACCCAGCATGGCCAAATCAATTAATCAATCAATCAATAAGTAAATATTTAAAAAAATTCTATAGACAATGGAAGACTAAGGTGATGGGGAGGGAGGGGCATGTGAGCGAGTACAGGGGAGTAGCAGGGATGGCCACATTCCTGTGGACAGGTTCCACTCTTAAGGCATCACTGCTCATAATATGCACCTTTATTTCTTTGTTCCAATAGGCAAGAAAAATGTCAAACTATGACATAGCATAATCATACAGAAATTGAAATGAGAAAAATGAATTACAACCTTCTCATGCAGGGAAGTTTGAAAATTTCAAGAACTTTCAAAAAAGAGAGTCCCTTTGGCTCAGTAATTCTATATCTAGGGGAATATCCTGAGACATAACCAGAAATGCTAAGAGTAGTTTACAGAATGAGCTGTGTCTACAAAAATCAGAAACTGAGTAATGACTTAGTAAAAATTCAATGAGAATAAAGGATGGTGCATTTCTGTGATGGGATAATATACACTAAGTTTTCTGAAGAATTTCTAATACGGGAAAATGAATATGGGAAAATGAAATGAAAAGACAGGCTCTTAATGATATAGCCTGACCTCAAGTAGGCAAAGCTATGTCAATATAAAAAATATAAAGTATTAAAAAGGATGTAATAGAACAAACTTGGTGACCTTTGAGTTATAGGATTACACGTGATTCCTATATTCTTTTTACACATGTCAGCATTTAACTTTCTTGAAGTAAATATTTATTATATTTTTACTGAAAAGGAACTGAACTCTCAATTCTGCAAGGGAAAAAAGAGAGAAAGAAGGTCTCGAGGGGAACTCAGCATGGGGTGAGACCCCCAGCTCTGAAGGAGCGGCGGGAGGCCCAGGTGCTGCTGGTCTCTGCCGCACCCCTTCCCGTTCTCAGAACCAGGGAGAGCTCTGCTGTGTCTGTGAGGCTGGCGGTAAGATGTCCACTCCCCCGGACAGGCCTTGGAGCCGGTTCTCCAGGGTGAGGGCAGAGTGAGGAATAACATGGCAGCCCAAGGTGACCCGTCTTCCACCCCTCACCAGGAAAGGCCATTATCTCTGTGGTCTCTAGGTTCTCCGATCTGAGCTTTCTGGGCCCAGGCAGAGAGCTAATCCTCTGTGTTGTTTCCCACCCAGTAGATATGTTTGATGACTTCTCGGAAGGCAGAGAGTGTGTCAACTGTGGGGCCATGTCCACCCCTCTGTGGCGGCGGGACGGGACGGGCCACTACCTGTGCAACGCCTGCGGCCTCTACCACAAGATGAACGGCATCAACCGGCCCCTCATCAAGCCCCAGCGCCGCCTGGTAAGCCAGGGCCTGGTGCCGCGTGGCCAGGGCAGGGGGCAGGGGGCTCGCTTCTCCGCTCCTCTCAGCTCCTGGCTTCGGGCTCAGCCTCGGTGGGAAGCTCCCGGTTTCGAATCTGGGGTTTCAAGTTATCTTTCAAAGAAGGTGCAGGTTGAAGGATTGGGTGGGTGGCAAAGTCATTTCTTCCACCTTCAGAGTTTGAACTGTGAGGATGGTCCAGCCCATTTAGTTCAACCCCTTAATTATGCAGAAGTGAAAAGTGAGGCTCAGAAATGCCATGTCTTGCCTGCATTGTGTGGTGTGTCTCCTGCGCTCACGTCAACCCCATGAGGAAGGCTGACTCTTCCTTTTTATGTTGTGACTTACCCAGTTTTCAGTTGATCCATTGACAAACCCAGAGATTATGTGAGGGTGTGCTGGGCCCTGTAGCTGGGGAGGAGATAGAAGCAAGTTTTTGGCTCCTAGTTTCCTGGTCATTTCTACCACATTTAATTCTGACCAGTAGCTTTCACAGATATTAGGGAAGGAAGAACAGAGGGGATAAACCCTGGCGCTTGCTTCCCTCTCTTGAAGTCAGTGTTTGAAGTCTCTGGGATACACTAATTGCCAACCCCAGGCCCTGAGGCCTAGGTTAATTCTACTTTGGGGAGAAGTTTTTCTGCCTACAGTGTCCAGTGGTCGCTCAGCTTTTCCCTGACGTGAGTGACTGATAATGTCGCTGACGCAGCAGGAACGACCAGGATTTGCTGTCTCCGGCAGCCCAGCCCTTGGTTGCATGCACCCGTGAGAGGCTGGGGTACCCGATTCCCAGCATCTGGGCATCGCAGCATCAGAGCATCTCTTGCGGGGGCGGCGAGTCTGAGACTCACGTGGCCCCGCCCCGCGATCGCTGGCGGTGAAGCAGTTGCCATGGCACCGGCCTTGGGCCTGAAGGGTCTGTCTCCTGTGTTGCAGTCTGCCTCCCGCCGAGTGGGCCTCTCCTGCGCCAACTGCCAGACCACCACCACCACGCTGTGGCGCCGCAACGCCGAGGGCGAGCCCGTGTGTAATGCCTGCGGCCTCTACATGAAGCTCCACGGCGTAAGGCTCCCGCGCACCACGTCCCGTACCTTCCTCCACAGCTTGGGTCTCATCCCTCTTCTTGCCCACAGATCATAATTCATTGTCTCCTTCTTAGATATAGTTAAATCTGGAAGCGTCCAGAGACTGTCTTACAGCCGTCCATTAAGGCTGCTGTAACAATGCCATAGACTGGGCAGCTTGGGTCTCCTGCGTTGCAGCTGGATTCTTTACTGACTGAGCGACCCGGGAGGCCCACGGGGCAGCGTGTGTGTGTGTGTGTGTGTGTGTGTGTGAGAGAGAGAGAGAGAGAGAGAGTCACTCAGTCATGTCTGACTCTTTGCGACCCCATGGACTGTAGCTCACCAGGCTCCTCTGTCCATGGGGGATTCTCCAGGCAAGAATACTGGAGTGGGTTGCCATTCCCTCCTTCAGGGGATCTTCCCTACCCAGGGATCTAACCCAGGTCTCCGGCATTCCAAGTGGATTCTTTACTGTCTGAGCCACCTGGGAGCCCTACTGGGCAGCTTAACCAACAAGAATTAATTTCTGTGGTTCTAGAAGCTGGAGGTCTGAGATCAGAGGCCAGATCAAGGGAGAACCCCCTGTCTGGTGCCATACTTCTTACTGTGTCCTTACATGGTGGAAGGGGCAAGGATGCTGTGGGGTCTCCTGCATAAGGCCACTAATCCCATTCATCAGGGCTCATCCTCATGGCCTCATCACCTTCCAAAGGCCCCACCTCCTAATACAATCACCTGGGACTGTAGGCTTGTGAACGTATCAGAGGGGGATACACATTCAGACCATAGCAGAGACATTGCTAGGGAACATCACTTCCATCTTTAGCACAACATAATTCTAATTCCCATTTTACAGATGAAGAGACTCAAAAGTAGTCTGTGTATGTGGTAGTATGACATATAACAAAGGTAACAATTCAATGCATAAAGGATAGCTTTTTAAGAATGCTTGTACTGACACAGTCTGGAACACAAAAATGACACTTGGCCTCTGCCTCCTACTAAATCCAAAAGTAAACTTGGGTGTATTAAAGATATGAAATGTAAAACCTCTTTTAAAAGGCACAATAAAAATACTAGAAGAAAATGTAGAGGGAGAGGTTATATAACCTTGGGGATGGGAGGAGAACTTTTCTTCAGCAAATTTTCAAAATTCTTAAGCCATAAAAGAAAAAGATATATTCGATTGTATACCTGCTCATATTAGTATATGGAAAAAGATACCCCAAGAAAGGAAAACCAGGAGGTAAGGGGAGGGGGAAATGGAGTTCCTGTTTAATGAGCAGAGAGTTGTTTTGCAAGATGAAAGTGTTCTGGAGATGAATGGTTGCATAACAGTGTGAATATGCTTGACACTGTTGAACTATACATTTAATAATGGTTAAGATGGTAAGTTTTATGTGATGGGCATTTTATGACAATGTTTTTAAATTGCTGATGTGGGTGGGGGTGCACACGAGGGCAGGATTCTTCTGAAATCAGGATGGTGTTCAAGAAGGTTTGAGGTGGGCAGAGGTGGGGAGGGCTGGGGGGAAGGACACTTTCCTCCAGAGGTGGAGGTGCTGTCTCATGTGACTAGGTTGACTGGAAGGCCGTTCAAGTTCACGAATGCTACTGCCCCCTTTTATTTTTTAGCCGCTCTGGTGGCTTAGTTCTCTGACCACAGAATGAACCCGGGGCCCTTGGTGGTGAGAGCACAGAGTCTTAACCACTGGACTGTCAGGGAATTCCCTACACTTCTTTCTTTAACAATTCCATGTTCATATCTCAAAAGTGGTTGTGGCTTTTGCTTCGGTATTTCCAGGTGTGGCCTGTGTTATTCCCATAGGAGAGACTAGCATAGACCAGGGACTAAAAGATTTGGTTGGCCAGGCCTGAAAGAAGCCAGATATGGGCAAGGCACACTATTTTAAAATACTAGAAAGAGGACCCTGCCAGTCTGCCCCTTTCCCTCCCCCAACCCAAGACAGAGTTCAGTGTTTTCATTTTTCTGTTTTCCCACGTCACCTATAAATCTGGTTATTTTCTATTTATGTCTTTCCCAACACACTGTGAACTCTACAGGGGAGGAACTGTGTCTTTAAGTCTGTTTCCCCTGAGTCTAGTACAGTATCCCAAAATATAAGTGTTCAACTCATCTTTTTAGTAGAATTGATTTCTTGCTCAAAAGGAGTTCCAGGCCTGATTCACTTAGACTCAGTCCCAAAGTTTGTAGAGGAATTGCACAGATCTGGCCTTCCCAGCGTGTATTTGTGTGTGTGTGTGTGTGTGTGTTGTGTAAATACTGTCACAGATCATGTACACCTGGAAAACCATGTATGTTGACTTGCAACCTCCTAGGTCCCCAGGCCCCTTGCGATGCGGAAAGAGGGGATTCAAACCAGAAAACGGAAGCCCAAGAACCTTAACAAATCAAAGACACCAGCAGGTGAGAAAAAGATCTTTGTGTAATTCTATGAATAATTGAGTAGTCCTCAGAGTGAATGAGCATCATGTATGCTCAGGTCCCAGGCTGCAGAGGTGTAATGATAGCATCATCCATTCTCTGCCTTTCAGGACAGAATGAATAACTTAGTGCAAAAGTAACATTGCCATGGAACATATTGGGAACTTTTAAAGCAGGCTCAACTTTTGTCATGGCCTGATTTTTGCCAGTTGCAAAGATTGCAGAGATCCAGCTAGACCTCTCGGTCTCGGAGGAAAAAGGAACATTATTCAGTCCCTCCATCTTCAGTGCTGCAGCTACTCAAGAACTCAAGTCCTTTTGGTTCGCTTTGGGCTAAATGGGGTCAAGAAACCCAGGGCCCATGAGTTGTGTTCAGTTAGATTTGGACATTGATTTGTAAGCTGGTGTATAATTAACATTGTATGTCCTTTGTGCTTTACAAACCTCCTTCACAAATACTGTCTCGCTGATCCTTAAAGACCCTCACTAGATCCCATTTATGATCCCCATTTTACTAATGAACAAGCTGAGGCTCAGAGAGGGCAATGACTCAACAAGGGTCACAGAGCTGTGAATGGGTAGAGCTGGAATTAAAAGCCCAGTGTTTTCACTTACAAAATATGGATATTCTGTTAAATATCCATTCTGCCTCTCAGTTTCTAGATTTCAAGGTGAGGACTTGGGTCCCCTACCAAGAGCATTGCCTGTCTGACCGACAGGTACACACAGCTATATTTAAGATGGATAGCCAACAGGGGCCCGCTGTATAGCACAGGAGACTCTGCTCAATGTCACGTGGCAGCCTGGACGTGAGGGGAGTCTGGGGGAGGATGGACACGTGTATATGTGTGATTGAGTCCCTTTGCTGTCCACCTGAAACTGTCACCACATTGTGAATCAGCTATACTCTAATACGAAATAAAAAGTCTAAAAAAAGAGCACTTCCTTTTGTCAGGGCCACTGTCACAGATTTTACTGGAAAATGTGGCAGGGGCAGAGAAAATAAGTCAGCTGATCTGATGGAAATTTCATCTTCTAATGTAAAGCCTGACAAGTTCAGATGACTTTCCCTGCTCCACTACTGAGAACATGGCCAAAGTGCTCCTTTTCCAGGTTCCACCGTGGCTTGCCCCTTCTGGCAGTCACGTGTTATTAGAACGTGCAGTGTCTCATACTTGGTCCTCACCCTCTCTCCCTCCTTGCACATTGGGTGTATGTCCAGCACCTTCCCCTGGGAACTTCATCTCTTTATGTGGTGGAGTCCTGGGGCACCACGTGTCAGTTCGGGTGTATGATCCCCCATCCGAAATTCCAAACCCAGGGAGCTAGATTTGGCAGCAAGACACAATCTGAACTGACACAGGCTACTTGTAATCTTTATTTATCCCATGTGTGAATATTCACATTTTGCTGGAGAACTATTAATGTGTTTAATTACTGGGTGTTGTCCCAGACCCTGCCGCAGATATTCTATCATATACAGGTCTTGCCTCATTTAAAATCCAAAAGTTTTGAATCCTGAGACATATGTGGCCCCAAGGATCTGGGATAAGGGGGGATGAGCCAGTCATCTGAAAAAGTTCCCTTGAAATTCTGCTGCTTCTGCTTCATCATGAGAACTGCCACCTTGCCCTGATGAAGGGCCCTGCTTCCCCTCTCCCCGGCAAGTGTAGACAGAGCCGTTAGCGCTGATCTGCCCTGGCTGGCTCCAAGGGCCACCGTCCGTGTGTCCCGGCCCCTGGGCTACGTGTCCTGACTCTGCCTTGTTCCAGGTCCCTCAGGCAGTGAGAGCCTCCCTCCCACCACCAGTGCTTCCAGCAGCTCCAGCAGTGTGGCCACCAGCAGCAGTGAGGAGATGCGCCCCATCAAAACCGAGCCTGGGCTGCCGTCCCACTATGGGCCCAGCAGCTCCCTGTCGCAGGTACTGCCCGTGCGGGAGTAGACTCCGGGTGGCCAGGCCCCCAGCCGAGGCAAGCGGCTGTCCACACAGGGGTCTATTTCAGCATATCTGATCAAGCTACAGCAATTTGGATACACAACCATGATATACTCTGTGCCAGGCTTCTCTGGTATCTCAATGGTAAAGAACACACCTGCCAATTATGAAGACGCAGGTTCGATCCCTGGGTTGGGAAGAACCCCTGGAGAAGGAAATGGCAACCCACTCTAGTACTCTTGCCTGGGAAATCCTGTGGACAGAGAAGCCTGGCGGGCTATAGTCCAGGGAGTTGCAAAGAGTCATACACGACTTAGCAACAGCTGTGCCAGGACCAGTGAAGACGGGCTGGCACACAGCATGACTGCAACCCAAATCAGATCGTGGGCTTGCTGGGGAAAGTGGTGAACCCATCGCAGGCTGTGGGAGGCAGAGTGGGGCTTTCTAAGCAAGTCTGTCTCCTCAGTGAGGGTGGCTTGACCTTGGCGATAGGTAGATTTTAACAGGAGGATGAGGTCCCTCCTGGCCTGTGGAAGCTGCAGTGGGCAGGTGGGAGGCTTGGGGTTGGCGAGGGGTCACAGGCAGGATGCTATTTAATGAGAGCTGGCTGCAGGTCCAGGTTCACACGTGTGTCCAGAAGATGGGCCAGCGGGACCCTCGTGTCCCTCTGTCAGATATGATGGCAACCCTGCTCCTCCACCCTCTTCCCTCTGTGGTTCCCCCATTTGGGACCAGAATGCCTCCAAACTTGGTCATGGTCTCCCATTAACTCATCTCTTCTCCTGTACTTGAGGTGAGCATGTCCTAATGAGCGTTCTGCCGTCAGAGTGAAGAGAAATTGATCCTGTGGGACCAGGAGAGCAAGGAGCCCCTTCTGGGCAGGGGGAATGGCCTCTCTTTGGAAAACAGAAATTGATGGTGCTAAGACTGTAGAAAATGTCTGATGCAATCATAGAAGGCGTCTGAGAAACCAGAATAGTCACAGGGTTCCTGGGTCAGTGCTCAGAAGCAGCTGGTCAGTCAGGAAGACCCCTTGCCTCTCATCCTTCATGGGTCGGGGGGCCAGCAGTGCGGCATGGTACCTCTCCTGCCCTTGTCTTTTGACCCTGTCCTCTGGTCCCCTTCCTGGGGCGGGAGCCAGCCTGGGCACAGAGCAGGGCTCCCCTCTCCAGTAGGAAGGATCCCACTGATGGTGTCTTATACCTTTCACTTTCAGACATTCTCGGTCAGCGCAATGTCTGGCCACGGGTCCTCCATCCACCCAGTCCTCTCTGCTCTGAAGCTCTCTCCGCAAGGCTACGCGGCTTCTGTCAGCCAGTCACCACAGGCCAGCTCCAAGCAGGACCCTTGGAACAGCCTGGCCTTAGCTGACAATCATGGGGACATAATCACTGCATAATGTCACCCCTTCCCTCCTCGGATCCTGCCCGGACTTGGGGACACGGGGGACAGCAGAGATGAGGCTCTGGGCTCCGGGGTGCTGGCCTGCTCTGCCTGGGAATGACTCCAGACAACAACTGGGAAGAAACTTGAAGTCAATGATTTGCTTAGGGGATTTTAGCACATACCTTTTTTTTTGGGGGGGGGGGGACTGGAGAGCTCAGGAGGAGCCCACCCCCTTCCCTAGGAGCACACCTCAGCCCCTCCCACGGAGCTGCAGACTTTTCTCATTTTTCTGCCCCATCACCCCCGACAAGAGACGAGAAGTCCTTCTCCCCTGTTTCCACCAAGATGGTGGCCTTTCCACTGTGCCGTGGGCACCGGGGATCCCAGGGCAGGTAGAGCGGGCATCTGTTGGACGTGTGTTGGGATGCCTCGCCCCGCGGCCGGTCCTGCCCTCGGCCAACACTCCCCTGCGGGCCCAGTGCACCCGCCTCCCTCATACTGAGTCTTGACTCCAGAAACACTGCATGTAGGGCCAGTGTTACCAGATGCTGCGTGGGGAGAGTGGCTTCCGCAAACTACGTGGCAACCTCGCGTCCCTGCAAGTTCCTCCTGCGGCTCAAATCGCTCCTTCTCTTCACCCCCGCCCTCCTCGAGGCCTCTGAAAAGAAACGCCCCTCCGCTGCTCTTGGTGATTCTGCTCTGCCTGCAGTTTGAACTAGTCCCCGAATCCTTCTTCCGCCCCATCACGCTCAGGGGTGTTCCTGAGTAAGAACAAAAAAGGTTCTGCTGCTGAAGCGAATTTGACCAGCATTCATGTGAGACTTGAGATCCTTCTGGACAGGATGTCTGGTGGACGGCCTCCGCCAGCGCGGCTGGGGATGCTCTGCGTGGGGCGGGGTTGTTGGCCTGGAACTTGCGGATGCGCTGTGGTTCCCTGGAAACGCACCTGTTGCCTGGGCCGCAGGCGGAGTCCATCTGAGGGGCGCGCACTGCCTGCACCCGCGTCCTTTCTCCAGCAGAAGGCGTCTGTCCAGGAGGCAAAAATGCTAGGGATTTTCCAATATAACAAACACAGCACAACTCATGGAAGAAAGACTTCGAGTGATGAGAGAAGATACAAGGGCGGGAGGGGGCGCCTTACCGCTCCCCCGGTTTGGCAATCGGCCTCCTCTCCGCGTTGCTATCTGCTCTCTCTACCCGTGACCCGGGGCTCGCGAAGATGCTGCCTTCCTTGCCCTGGCTGCCAACAGAGTGTAGCTGACTAGCCTTCCTCTGTGCTACGCCAAACACCCAACCCCCGCCCCGCAATCCTCCCGGCGGTAGCAGAGTTATCTTTAAACCCAGGTTCTGTTTTAATCATCATTTACATTGGCTTTCTTCTACGAAAGCCGCCCCTCACCCCTTGTATACCCTTCCCTAACCCACAAAACTGCTAACGTTGTCTTAAGGTGAAATGGCTGTAAAATCAGTATTTAACTAATAAATTTATCTGTATTCCTCTTTCCCTTCTCCTCCTCCCTCTGCGGCATCTTCTGAGGTCCACTGCTGCCCGTTGCAAGGCAATCCTGAGCCGCCGAGGCCCCTTTGCTGAATCACTTTTCCGTCCGTTCCTTTTGGCAGTTGGCCGAGGCTTACTCTGTAGGTGCTGGGGGTTAGTGACAAGGACACGCATCCAAGCCCTGCTACTGACTAGTCTGTGACCTCGACAGGTAACCTCTAGGTTTGGTTTCCTAGGGCGGGTTGAACCAGCCCTTAACTGAAGTTCCTGTGGCCTCTTAGATGTTGCCACCCCCACGAAGGGGGACATTTTTAGAGCTGCTGGCAAACACTGGTAGCTCAGTGTAAAGGAGAGCTGTGAGGTAGTAGCCTCTCCAGTCCATCTTATTTTCGACGTGTGCTGGAGGGTCACACTGAGTTGTTTGCCATCTTCTCCATTATGGTTTGATCCAAACAAGTCCCCCGAGGGCTTCATACCAGTAGGAGGGGAGGGGGAAAACCTCTCCTTTGTCCATTTTGTCTTCACTTTTGTGGGCTTACAGACTTGCTTACTTGCTTCATCTTAAAAGTGGAGTGGGGTTGAGAGGGTGACTCTAAGGTTTGTGGAACAGAACCCAGACAGGCACATCTGCTCCCGCTCAGAACTGTTGGTAGTAGCTTCCTGCCTCTCACATGGTTTATACCCAGTGGGCAACTAAAGGCTTTTGACCTTTCACAGCACCCTCGTTATTTTTTGAGCAAATGAGGATAAAAAACTATAACAAGCATTTGATATAAAATTGGAAAAGCTTTTAAACTGGTTATGAAATGGCCAAACCTATTCAATGCATCTACCATCCAGAAAGATGATAACTCTGGCCAAGAGTAGCAGAAAAGATTCAGAAGCAAAAATAAAACCTACTATGATTTATATTAGCCTTGAGGAGGATATGTTTTCTGATGATGAAGTCTTAGCTGAAAACATTTTTGCCCCTTCCCTTTAGGAATGGCTTTCAGAGGATGGATATATATATATACCTACACACACAGTACCAGAAGATTGACCTTATTCCTTATATGGTCATAACTTGTGCTTCACCGCAGATGGTAAAATCCAGCTTTATTCAGCCTCCTTGCTCACCAGACTGGGTTGATTTTTCAAATCAAATGTATCCTCAGGAGAGGTCAATAATAATGTTAGTCGCTCAGTCATGTCCGACTCTTTGTGACCCCAATGTCTATAGCCTGCCAGGCTCCTCTGTCCATAGAGTTCTCCAGGCAAGAATACCAGAGTGGGTTGCCATTCCCTTCTCCAGGGGATCTTACCAGCCTGGGTCTCCTGCATTGTAGGCAGATTCTTTTACCATCTGAGCCACCAGGTAGGCCCCAGGAGGTCAAGAGGAGATGAAGTTGCTACCAATCAGGATATCTGAAAGGATGCAATTCCCAGATGGTTGGGAAGTGGCTAGAGGAAGGATGGGGAGGTGGGGGTGGGAGGTGGACTCAACAATGGCCTCCTTAGAATAAGTGCCTGCCCTAATATGGTGAGTGCAGTCTCCAGGGGGTGTTTGTTCAGGCCGAGACATCCCTCATGGTCCCTTTCAGGCCCACCCCTCACTATGACAAAAATTTTGAAGCACAGATCAAATCATTTTAACATTTAGGGGCATCAGTCCTTAATATCTGACTTTTCGATACCTTTAGAGGGTAAGTAGTAGCAGATTTAGCCATGATTATGTGCTTCACCCCAGATGTTTGGCCTGGGGTGACAGTAGTGAATGTAAGTTTATATTCACTGAACATGCACCAACTAGACCAAGGCTGGGGGTTATTTGATGCCCCCCTCTTCCAGGCCCCCAGAACTTACTGATGTGCACACTAGTGCACGAGAAATCCGGTCATTTGGCAAGCTGCTGTTGGTGTGAAGGTGATTGGTTTTCAGTTTTAAATCATTTTCTGACACTGGAGACAACTCTTCAGATTACATCCTTGCCTTGCTTGAAGCTGGAACACAAACAGGCCTCCATCGTTAACAGCACAGTTAGGTATCTTCCCAGAACCAAGGACAAGGCTCAGAGCTTCCGCGTGTAGCCCGGGAAGCGGAATCCGTGCCCCTGGGGGCTCCGGGCCCTGGACACTGTTCCTTTCTCTTCAGTGACTGCGCCCCTGTTCTGTGGCCTCCTGGGGGCACAGCTGCTCCGTGCCAGCCTGGCTCCCATGCGATTATCATCTCCCCTCCAGTAGCTGCGGCAGTCCAATTTGCAAAAAGACATCAGTGACAAGGACAGCTAAATAAGCCAAGCAAAGATGGCACTAAAGCAGACCTAGGTTCTCAAAGTCCAGTTTTCTTTGGGTCTGGGCATGGCTGGATCACTGGCTGAAGCCTGGGAAATTGTGGGTTTAGTTGTACAGAGAGAGGGGCAACCACACACAGCTGTGCTCTGGGTTCACAGGAACAGTGGGAACAGAAAAATCCTGTAAGGTGCCTGCTGGTGCTCTTAGGCCCTGACTTAGGCCTCCTGTGGTGTCAGGAGGTCTTCAGAAGGACCCAAAGAGGGAGCATCTCCAGTGAAGGCTGATAAATGAGAACCATCATCGCCCCCCCAGCACACTCACAGTGTATCCCCGCCCCGCTGTGCAGTGACTGCCTTCTGTCCTATAGCTCTGGTGGCCCTGCTTCACCTGAGGAATAAACATGACCACAGAGGTTTCTAACCAGATGCACCTGAAGTTCAGATCACTGGATGGTTTCAGTTTCCAAATCACTGAATCTCTGACAGCAAGGAGTTCATTCAGATGAAGTTCAATACTGGTAAATGATACCAGTGAACAATACACATAGACCCCTCTTACAACAAAGATACTGTAGTCTCTTGTGTTGCTTCTCTTTTAAGATAGATTTAGTGCCCCCCCCCAAAAGATTTAGTCCAATGAAATGGGTTGTAATTAGAGATGTGAAACATCTAGATTTTTTGTTTCTCTGTCCTTTTGCTTTACAACTCATGAAAATTTTTTTAAAAATGAAAATTTCATTACTTCTAGGGTTCTTGATTATCTAAGACTTTGGGGCTGGGATGTGGGACAAAAATGGTAAGACTGAAATAACAGAATCCTAAATAGGATTGCTGTTCTCTGCTGAACAAAGCAATGAGTGATGCCAGCTAATGTGCTTTAAAAGGTAAAGTTGTCGCTTCATTATCCAAACAATTCCCAGACTTCGCTGTAGGGATGTGGCCTGGAAACACTTTCAGGAAGTCTTCTGGTCCAGCTCCCCACAATGACATCGTTGCAGAATTCCTTAACGTGGCTTCCAGCCTGACCACAGCTAGTTTCCCCATTCCACCCTACCCCTGCAATAGTGCCCATGTTTTGAAATTATTTTGCCTGCACAGTTATTGGGCTTCTCCTCACTTCAGCTCAAAAACATAACCACATATAAATTACACTTCAATTTTTAAAGAACAAAAAGCATAACTGCTCATCTCTGCTGACAAGTACTACCAGATCACACAAGGATAAGTGTGAGGAATTCCTGGTAGCCCCTTCCTTACAGGAGGATTTGAGTCTGGGGTCTGTGGGAGTACAGGGGAGTTACAAGACACAAGCTGCTAAATATTAGGAGTAGTATAGCTAAGGTTTCCTCCCAGTAGCTGGTTAGGGAGAGTCAAATGGAAGGGAAACAACCCATCTAGAAACAGGATACCTGGATTGGGAGACCATGCCTGATGCACTTACAGATCATGAGGGGATCTCAGGCATCATTTGGTGCAAACCCTTTTGTTCCACCATCATAAAAAAAAAAAAAAAACAAAAAAAACAACTCACCCATTAAAAAACTCATCATAAAAAAAAACTCACCCAAGGTCACAGAGCCGGCATGAAGAGGGGTGCTTCCTGAGCACCTACTCACTACTCCCAGGGATCGAACCCGCATCTTCCGCATTGTAGGCAGACGCTTTACCATCTGAACCGCCAAGGAAGTCTTCACTAGGCATAAAGGTTGTCAGATACGGCCATTGCAGTTAATACACTCACCATGGAGGGGGCGCCAGCGTTCTCTCTCTTGTATGCAACAGCCTGATTTTCAAACATTCCATCTGAGACTGTTATGCCTGATGTCCGAATCCCCGAGCTGACTCGGATGCTCCTGCTGCATCCAACGCAGTGGTGTGGGGTCAGAGAGCCCTGACTCGAGTCAGCAATAAAACTTCCCTTTTTGCGAGTTGCATTGTCTTGGAGGCCTTCTCTCTTCCTGCTCGGGGATTCAGACATCAGGCATAACAAGACCAGCTTAGAAATTAGACTTTAAAAAGTTCCTGCCACTTATTGAGCACTCCTGCACGTCAGACACGCTAGCAGCTGTACATAGTTATTCAAGTTTTCCGAAATCCTCAAAGCACTCTTTACACACGAAGAAGATAGACATGGACTCTCTTAGTTTTTTTTTTTTTTTCTTCTAATATGAAGCATTTAAAAACTCTTAATTGAATGTGTTACAATATATTGTTTCTGTTTTGTTCCGGCTTTTTGGCCGCGAGGCATGTGGGATCTTAGCTCCCTGAGCAGGGATCGAACCTGCACCCCATAAGTTGGAAGATGAAGTGCTAACCACTGGACAGCCAGCCTTGGAATTCCTCAGCCCAAGGGTTTTAAATAGCTTGCTTAGTACAGAACTAGTACAGGCAGAACCAGGATTCAAATCTGACTCCAGAATCTGAACATTTATTATAGCCCACCCCCGCCACTCCCAAAGAGTGGAAACCTAGGAGCTGGAAACCCCTTACAACCTGGGTCTAGGTCCCACTCCAAGATGAAGTCTTTCAACTTCTCTTCAGAAGCTGGGGAGAATCCTTGGTTCCAAATTCTCCAATTGAGACACGCTGAGATAAGGTCCACTGGGGAATATGGCTCACTATCGACAGTCAGAAGTCCAAAGAAGGGGACAACTGGAAGAGACCCCCTCCCGGAGCCTCACTCTCCGCCCTCCAAGTTCCCCTGGAGACACATGAAACCTCTTCGACGTGGTT